GGGCTGTGGGGGAGGGGGCCCTGCACTCAGGGAACTGCCGGAAGAGGGGCGACCCTGCACCCAGTGACCAGGGGACCCTGCACCCAAGGCCTGTGGGGGATTAGAGGCGGGCTGGCTTCCAGGGGTGGGGTGGGAGGGGGGCCCTGCCCACAGGGAGCTGCCAGGGAAGGGGGGACCTTGCACCCAGTGTCCGGGGGAGGGTGTCCAGCTCCCAGAGACTCTGCGTGTGGGACCCTGACCGAGCGGGGTGACAGAGGAACAGCTCTAGGCCAAGGGACAGCAGGGAACGCCAGACCCCCAGGCCCCTTGCGAGTGTGTGGGGGTGGGGCTGGTCGTGGGGCCTTGGCTGAGCTCACATCAGTTTGGAGCCACTTGGGGCCTGTCTGCGCTGGACCCGAGAGGGGCCGAGCGCTCTGCCCGCAAAGCCGATGCCAAGGGGCGCCGACATCTCAGCTCTGTGCCCCGGCTCCCTGCCAGCGCTGGGGGACGAAGGCTCATGCTGCCAGAAACGGGATCCAGCGGCGCTTTGACTGGCAGCCTCCCTGTGCTCCCAGGTCAAGTAGGGGGAGCACGTGGCCGTGTGTCCAGCCTGGCCTGCAGAGAGCCCCTCAGCCTCCCGCCCTGGCCTGGGCATCTCCCCAGGGGGGCTCGGGGAAGGAACAAGGTGCCCCAGGGCAGACCCCTCCCTTTGCACGCCCCTGTCTCCCTTCCCTGCACGAAGCTCCCTGCTGCATGGGGTAACCCTCCCAAGCAGCATGGGCCCTCCTGAGGAATTTGCCCTGTGCCCCGGAGTTGGAGGTGGCCGAGGAGGGGACGGGGGGGGAGGGGGGAGGTTTCCCATCAGACCTTGATCCCAGCCAGGCCAAGGAAGCGGGCAGACCCCTCCCTTTGCACGCCCCTGTCTCCCTTCCCTGCACGAAGCTCCCTGCTGCATGGGGTAACCCTCCCAAGCAGCATGGGCCCTCCTGAGGAATTTGCCCTGTGCCCCGGAGTTGGAGGTGGCCGAGGAGGGGACGGGGGGGGAGGGGGGAGGTTTCCCATCAGACCTTGATCCCAGCCAGGCCAAGGAAGCGGCTGTGGGGGGGGAGCCAGCAGGGCTAGGGCTGCCCCAGCACCACTGCAAAGAGAGGGGCTGGGAATCCAGGGCCTTGCTAATTGGAAGAGGGGGTTTGCTTCTCTGGCTCCATAGCAGGGGGCTGTTCTTGCCCCCCCTCCGGCAGGCCTAGGGTGACCCTTAGCTAGGAGTCCGTTGGCTGCAGCAACCACTACCCCAGTGCAGTGATGCCCATTTATTTTCCAACACTGCCATCTGGCTGCCAGCGCTGCCTGGCCCCCGGGCTGCGACCTCGATGATCCCGAGATCGGGGCGTCTGCTACATCAGAGGGGGGTGCCTATTTTTGATGGGGGGGGCATTCACATTTTAGAAAGTGGTCAAGGGCTGCACTTTTCTATGGAGGGGGATGGAGGAGGGAATTGGGGTGCAGGAGACGCTGTGGAGTCTGAGAGGGAGTTTGAGTGAAAGGGGGGGGCACGCACAAATTTCCTCCCCCACTCCGGAACAGAGAGGCAGATAGAGCCGGCAACTGATCTGAGCCCTGCGGCTGCTCTCTGCCTGTGGGTCCAATGGTACAGGCCGTGGGCCAGACTGGAAGGCTCCGTGGGCCAGCTCAGCCCAGGGGCCCACCTAGCTTAGCCTCTGGGCTCTGAGAGCCCCAGCAAGACATCCTGCGGTGCCAACCCCATCAGGTAGAGGTTGGCTGGTGCCAAAGACCAGCCCGTGGGGGGCCCCAACAAGGTCCCCCAAACCACTCCCCCCACACCTCACAGGCCTAGCCCCTCCCTCTTGCCCACTCTGTGCTACGTCAATAAAGTGCCACGAACCACGGGCCACCCGCCTGGGCATCTCTCCCTCAGCCACAGGCCTGCTAGTGGCAGATCAGCCGCCCGGGTGCTGGGTGTCCGCAGTGCATACACAGGGTGCTGGGGGCTCAGAGCCAAGCCGTCCCAGCCAGCTCTGCCCGCTCCCATCCCAGCCCAGCCTCGAGTGGCCTGTAAGTCAAGGAGGGCAGAGCCCCCTGGGTGCACAGCTCATTGCAAACCTGCCTCTTTGGTCTTTCTCGAGAGGCCACCCCCCCCCCCCTTCGTCATGGCGCAGCAGACACCCCCGCCAGGAGCATGGGTGAGGGCAGGAGAGCTGCCACGTTCTGAACTCGCTCTGCTCAGGGTGGCACCATCGCCTCAGGTTGGCAGCTGGCTGCAGGGGACTCCGGCCAGGCCCCCGGGTATGCCCACCCCATTGCAGTCCCGTGAGACAACACGCCAGGCAGACAGCCCTGAGCCTCAGGCAGGGGTTTATTTGTAAATGGCCCGTGGTCATTAAAAGAGTCCCTGTGGGTCCTCCCTGCCCTCGGGCTGCTGCTCCCCCCACCTCTGGCCACTTCAGGAAAAGCTCTTTGCAGCCACCCCGCTCTGGCCCTGGTCAAGCGGGGCCAGGCACTCCCTGGTGCTGGCAGGGTCAGTGTTGGCAGCACACGGGGCTAGAGGCAGCAGGCCGGTGGGGTAGGGGGAGGCGTCCCGGCAGGCCGAGGCTGGCTGCTCTGGGGCCAGGTCCTCCCGCTTGCCCATGGTGAGGATGCCGGCAGCGTGGTTGCCGGAGCCGTGCAGCAGGCGGTAGAGCTGGCTCTGGAAGGCTTGCGAGCTGCTCCTCCTCTTGCCCAGTGTGAGGATGCCGGCAGCATGGTTCCCCAGGCCGTGCAGCACGTCATAGACCCGGCATGGGCAGGTCTTCTGGCGGCAGCACACGGGCATGCTCTGCCCGGCCGCAGCCAGGGAGCAGAGCAGGGCCAGGAGCAGGAGGCAGGAGGCCTTGTGGATCTGTGAGCACAAGAGGCAAGTGTGAGCGCAGGGCCAGGCGGGTGTCAACGGGGATAAACCCAGCGACACCCCAGCTCAGCCCAGGGGCCCATCTAGCTTTGCATCTGGGCTCTGAGAGCCCCGGCAAGACGCCCTGCGGTGCCGACCCCACCAAGGAGAGATTGGCTGGTACCAAAGACCAGCCCGTGGAGGGCCCCAACAAGGTCCCCCAAACCGCTCCCCCCAACCTCACAGGCCTAGCCCCTCCCTCTCCCAGAAAACCCACGCGGGCGCCACCTCACTACCCTGCCCCACTGTGAACTCTCCGCAAACACTGCCCCCAAAATACCCAGCATGCCCCACTCTCCCAGGGCCACCTCCAGGGCTTGGGTTGCGCAACATTCTTGTGGGCCTCCTGCCCCCTAACCACTAGCCCATACTGCCCTCCCGCAGCTGGGACTAGACCCTTATTTTAAGAGGGCTAAGGGATCTTTCGGAAAAGGCTTTATTTTCCGAAAGATCCGCGTCTAGACTGGCGCTTTTCTCCGGCAAAGCTCCGTGCCGAAAAAGAGCGGCAGCCATTTTTATGCTAATGAAGCGGGGGAGATTTAAATCCCCGCTTCATTCGCAATTGCGATACGTCTAATTTGCATCCTTTTTACGAAAAATCGAGACGTAGCCCAGGAGCGCTAGCTGCCACACACCCTGTGCACAGGCCCTAGTGACCTGCTGCAAAGCGCCAAAGGGGCCAGACTCACTCACTGCTCTCTGCCCCCCGCCCCA